ATAGAAACTTACACATATGATATAATCTGTTAATGGTGATAGAAACTTACACATGTGATATAATCTATTAATAGTGCTAGAAACTTACACGTGTGATACAATCTATTAATAGTGATAGAAACTTACACATGATATAATCTATTAATAGTGATAGAAACTTACACATGTGATATAATCTATTAATAGTGCTAGAAACTTACATGTGTGATATAATCTATTAATAGTGATAGAAACTTACATGTGTGATATAATCTATTAATAGTGATAGAAACTTACATGTGATATAATCTATTAATAGTGATAGAAACTTACACATGTGATATAATCTGTTAATGGTGATAGAAACTTACACATGTGATATAATCTATTAATGGTGATAGAAACTTACATGTGATATAATTTATTTATAAAGATAGAAACTTACAAACTATCATTCTACCATTAATCCAAATAATTACATAAACTACCATTCTACCGTTAATCCAAATAATTACATAATCTACCATTCTACCATTAATCCAGATAATTACATAAACTACCATTAATCCAAATAACAACATAAACTACCATTCTATTTTAACCCATAGAATGCATTTTTATGTTTACAACCTGAAACAATATTTAAAATCATATTCTCTAGGTATTCATTAAGAGTTAAAAAAATCATATATACATCCCCCACTTTGTAACGACATATATACGAGAAAGAAAAATTCTTTGAGTACATCATATGATCTCTAACTTATCATTCATTATAATGGACAAAAAGAAAGACATCCATAAAGCATAAACATGCATTTTATCCAATGTATTAATCAAACTGACTCACATAAAAACACAACTAGCTATACAGACAAACAAACAGATCTTCAGTGCTTAATCCAAATAATTACATAAACTATCATTCTACCATTAATCCAGATAATGACATAAACTATCATTCTGCAGTTAATACAAACAATTACATAAACTACCATTCTACCATTAATCCAAATAACAAACTATCATTCTACCATTAATCCAAATAATGGTAGAATGATAGTTTGTCATTATTTGGATTAACTGCAGAATGATAGTTTATGTCATTATCTGGATTAATGGTAGAATGATAGTTTGTCATTATTTGGATTAACGGTAGAATGATAGTTTATGTCATTATTTGGATTAATGGTAGAATGGTAGTTTGTCATTATTTGGATTAACGGTAGAATGATAGTTTATGTCATTATTTGGATTAATGGTAGAATGGTAGTTTGTCATTATCTGGATTAATGGTAGAATGGTAGTTTGTCATTATTTGGATTAACGGTAGAATGATAGTTTATGTCATTATTTGGATTAATGGTAGAATGATAGTTTGTCATTATTTGGATTAACGGTAGAATGGTAGTTTATAATTATTTGGATTAATGGTAAAATGGTAGTTTATATTATTTGGATTAATGGTAGAATGATAGTTTATGTAATTATTTGGATTAATGGTAGAATGGTAGTTTATGTAATTATTTGGATTAATGGTAGATTGGTAATTTTTATGTAATTAAATACTTTTTTGTGTGGTCCTCGGTATTTAGCTCCATTTTTTTCATATTTCAGCCGACAACAACGTCAAGAAGATTGTCTCCAAAAGAACAAAGGGATTGTGAAGTTATTGGTATGAATGATCAACATGCTGTAATAGTTAAAAAAGTTAACATTTCTCTAAAGTTGTTTTTAATTGTTCATTTTTAATAGCAACAAATTCTAAATTATGACTTGATGTAAGAATTAAAAAACAGTATTGCTGACTTTTTGTTAAGTTGAAATGACAATCTTGTGAGATAAGTTTATATGTACAACCTAAAACCTGACTGAAGGCCATCTGTTACGATTAAAAACTAGGGAGGTTTGTGTCATTCCAGAAAGTTATGGCTTTTAATGAATATGACAAAAGTAAATAAGTGGCAGGGTGTATCTTTTCTGTTTTTAAAAAGGTCAAATCATAATTTTTCTCATTACCTTTATCTTTCAGTTGTTGCTGGATAAGTAGAAGCTTTCTGTATGCTTAAACAGTGTTTATTTAATATACCTCAACACACAAAGTATTACTAGATTTTCTAATAATATTAAAAATGTAGAGATTAATCCACAACCAATACTTTAATCCTGCTGGAAAAGCACAACTCAGGATTTCAATATGTTAGGGAATTTGAAGAATTTTCTCAAGGCTTTCTATAAAATTCTAAAAAGATGAATACCTGTTCTGTCTTCCTATACATAAATTAATATAATTTTTGTTATTTTTAGTATAATTTGGCACTTTACCAGTTTTCTCTATACAACATATGATCATTATTATATATTTTCTCTGTATTGGTTTATTTAACAGCTTTTTTTAATAGATTGACTACTGTTTGAATATTTATCAGGGTACCATGTGTATATACTCCCAATTTTTATCTCTTATGTTTAGACTCGGTTCTATCCATAATTTCAAAGTATTAGTTAAAAAAAGAATATTTTTTACCACATTACGTTATTTATATTTTTGATGGAGTTGTGATAATCTTACATTTTTAACTTGCATTTCAACTTTTAACCAAAAAACAACATTTATGCATCTTCTAAAAACTTTTGGCACTGAAATATTTCAAGTCTCGTGTTTCCTTTTACACCTCACTTTTTTTGTACATATAAGTGTTCTAAGTCTTTGCCAATTTAATATCACAATATGCAGACATGCCATGCATTTTCTACCTTTTTCATTCAAATGTAGAACTTTATGAAATTTTTTGTTTATTCTGTTATGTGAAGTTTTTGCATTAGTTGTGGTTATTAAATGTGGTGATGATGAGCATTTCACATTATCACCCCCAGTCTGATGGTTTAGTAGAACAGGCAACACAGACTGTCAAGTGTTTGTTAATCTGGACCGCACCAGCTAGGACTGTACGTCGTGATAGCATACAGAGCAACTGAACAGAGGCGTACAGGTTGTTCACTGAACATACTCGTGTTCAGGGAGGGGAGATCCTGCTGCTGTGATGCCATAGAGCAATGTTCCACAAGAACATAAGGTCTGCACTACTAGATTCATACATTACTGGCAGGAACGGTCTCTAAATGTCAGAGTGTTACAAAGAGGTGGTAAAGGAATGGATATACAAGTGTAGAAACTGGGTGGGGCTATGATGCATGCCGATAGCACAAGAACTGCTCGGATCTGGCTAGATAGGTCTTATTTCATACTCTGGCAGGTCTGTCCATTAAAGTATGAGTTACAGCAAGTGTGTGGAATGTGAGAACCTAGAACATGTTAATAAGATGCATCCACACATCATAAAAGAGCCTCTAGTGCCCTAGCTCAACCAGACATTAGAGACTGAGACAGATTAGTCAGAGAAAGATGAAATAAGTAATTTCCTGGCATGTTGATTAACCGAATACACTTGTATGGCTGTCAGTGATTAGCCAGATGAAAAGGTACTGGAAGTTGAGGCAACAGAAAGCTCCAACATCTAGCCAAGCCACTGGTCTTCTGATTGATATGGCTGGTGTTGTTTGTTTATGGCAAGATTGACAGAACTGCCTGCTAGGTTCTCCCATATTTCTGGGGAATCAAGTTTTTTATATGTACTGAATGAACTGTGTTTTTTCTATAATTATATTTATGCTGTAGTTCTGTTTTTGGCTGATGAGGCTTTTAACTGGAAAGTCTTAACTCCACTGCATTCTGTCAGTGATTAATTTGTGAAGTGTGAATAAAAATAAAATGATTTTGACAGCTTCTAGATGGCAACATATTGTGAGACTGACTACTGAGTTTTAGGTTCAGGAGGTAAACAGGCAATGGTAAGGCATGGCTTCGTTACCCTGAGTGAGCTCCAAGTGTAGGAACCAGATTTACAGTCTCAACCCACTTCCATTCCTAACAGGCTCTATCCATGTATGTTGTATCCGAACAGTAGTGAGAGGTTAAAGGGTAAGCCGTGTTTGCTGTCATTCAGCAGGAATGTGGGAGCAGCATTATAAGTATTTGTCAAGCAGAGATCCAATGATCCCTGGTGTTAGGAATACATTTTTATGGGCAATAGAGGACATGAATACACAAAAAAACCCATAAAAATATCACTTGACTGAGATATAGTTTTAATACTCTGCTTCTAAATTTGATTTTAGAACAAGTTATAGTTGTAACTTGGAGTAACATGGTTGTTTTGAGTAAAGAGTTGGACTATACAGCCAATCCTCAGACTGTTGGTGCTGGCCTGACATTCACCGTAGCTGAGTTAATGGATGGAGAAGTATTGCTTGCTGATGCAACAGACAAAGGAAAGCTTGCTCTATCTATTGTTGAAATGACTTTGAGATTTTCTCAGGCTGGTCAGCCTCCATTGGTCATAATAGGTCAATCTCCGTTGGTCCGTGATAAGTCAGTCTCCATTGGCCCGTGATAAGTCAGTCTCCGTTGGCCCGTGATAAGTCAGTCTCCATTGGCCCATGATAAGTCAGTCTCCATTGGCCCATGATAAGTCAGTCTCCGTTGGCCATGATAAGTCAGTCTCCGTTGGCCGTGATAGGTCAGTCTCCATTGGCCCGTGATAGGTCAGTCTCCATTGGCCCGTGATAGGTCAGTCTCCATTGGCCCGTGATAGGTCAGTCTCCATTGGCCCGTGATAGGTCAGTCTCCATTGGCCCGTGATAGGTCAGTCTCCATTGGCCCGTGATAGGTCAGTCTCCATTGGCCCGTGATAGGTCAGTCTCCATTAGCCGTGATAGGTCAGTCTCCATGAATGTACCAGTGACAGAGGGAGCAGCGGTGATGATTTAAGTCTTCAGGTGACTCAGCAGCAGGTGGCACCACCATCGCACTTCTGTGAAAGAGCAAATGCCATTGTCAGAGATCGCTGCTGAATGGACTAGGAGGACTAGCTGCACCGAAGAAGAGGTATGTCGCTTGTGAATGAAGCTGCACTGAAGAAGAGGTATGTCGCTTGTGAATGAAGCTGCACTGAAGAAGAGGTACGTCGCTTGTGAGTTAAGCTGAATCAAAGAATAGGTACGTCGCTTGTGAGTTAAGCTGAATCAAAGAATAGGTACGTCGCTTGTGAGTTAAGCTGAATCAAAGAATAGGTACGTCACTTGTGAGTTAAGCTGAATCAAAGAATAGGTACGTCACTTGTGAGTTAAGCTGAATCAAAGAAGAGGTACACCGCTTGTGAGTTAAGCTGCATCAAAGAAGAGGTACGTTGCTTGTGAATCAAACTGCACCGAAGAAGAGGTTTGCCACTCGTGAGTGAAGCTGCCACAGACACCTTACAAACCGTCACAATGGCCAGTTGACAAAATATTCCCCATACCTGAGGATCTATTGGCAGGGTTAAAGTGACGGGGAGTGAAACTCATGCCTGCTCTGGGGTTTATGTAAACTTTATGTACTTTATGTAACTCTGACAGAGTTGTATATTATAAGTCCTGTGTTTTCTCTGAGAGAGTTATATATTGGAAGTCCTGTGTTTTCACTGACAGAGTTGTATATTGGAAGTCCTGTGTTTTCTCTGAGAGAGTTATATATTGGAAGTCCTGTGTTTTCACTGACAGAGTTGTATATTGGAAGTCCTGTGTTTTCTCTGAGAGAGTTGTATATTGGAAGTCCTGTGTTTTATCTGAGAGAGTTATATATATTGGAAGTCCTGTGTTTTCTCTGAGAGAGTTATATATATTGGAAGTCCTGTGTGCACAGGTTGTAATCAAAGTGTTGAAGCCATTACCTTTTACACATGACATTCAACTTGGTATTATGTATTTGATGTCAGATGATAGTTTGTGATATAAATACAAGATATGATATACAGTGATACCAATAAAAACTGTGTGTATACATTTCAGAAGTTCTATGCAAATACAATATGCAAACTGACAAAAGTATTTTTATCCTTCACACAAAGATAACCGTACCTTAAACTTTCACTTGACAGAGTCTGAATAAGACTGACATCATCAATTCAAGGATGTACAAATACATTAATAACTCATCTAATTTTCTGTGTACAACAGAATTGTACTTTTTACTATAAGCTAACCATATTTTGCATATTAAATTCAGAATTCTAGTCAGTATTCCTTCTCCAATATGGGGTCAGTTCAATGGACTGAGCCTGTACACCTTCGGTTGATATCAAACAATTCATTAGATAATTTTTGCAACTAGTGCTGTTAAAGGGTTCATTACTGTTTTGTTTGTTTTTTAGTGTTTTATTTATGAATTAGGTTTCCATTTTACATTTAATTGTTCGTAAAGGGTATGTTTTATTTTGTATTTTGACAAAGTTGATTTTGTTCTGTGACTGGTTTCATTGTTAACGGGCCTTATAATAGGCAGTATTGTATTAGTGGTTTGTTTTGCTGTGATTAGTTGTTCTTATTACTAACAGGGTGCAGGGATTTCCCTTGGTTGAATATCAGCCAAAAAGCTCCAATTTTAAGTATAAAATTCCCAATTCTTCAGTGATACTTTTGAAAATAAATTGATTTTGGAAATGGAAAAAACATTGCCATCATCATAAATCTGTGAAATTAGGTTTAAATGTTGCAAATAATGAACTTTAGTTTTTACCAGATGCTTCACTTGTTTTATGTGCACGTATGTTGCACTGGAAAAATGAGAATGCCAGTTGCCTCGCTTGTTATAAATCACATACATGTTACATCAAAGTGATTCGATAAATGACAATAATAATATCAGGACTAATTTACAGTTTGAAGATCTTCTCATTGTCACCATGTCTCACAATTATAAGTATTTTATAAAACCAAGAACTAAAAAAAATTTTGAAAAACTGCCATCAATGTACACTTATTTATTTATTTAACAAAATCTTGCTATTTTAAAAAAACAAGTTCCAAATTTTACTGTTTAATGCATCAAATTTCCTGATTTAAAAGGATCCAGACCAATTTAAAAAGAAATATAGGAAAATCCTGCTATAAGAAATTCATGGATCCATAAGCGATTTAATGGATAAATAGTTAAGAAAAATGTGTTTGAAAAGCCAATGGAGTAATTGTAGGATTAATATATTGTGAACTTGATAAAGAAAAGTTAAGTAACCTTCTGTGTTAACACAAAATTTTCTTGTTTTATGTTTCATCTAGAACGTTTGATCAAGTCCTATTTTTTAATTGTAAGAAAGAACATTCAGGACTCTGTGCCGAAAGCTATCATGCACTTTTTAGTGAACCATGTGAAAGATAATCTCCAGAGTGAACTGGTCACTCATCTGTACAAACACGACCACTTCAAAGACCTTCTTCAGGAGTCTGAACATATAGCTGTCAGGAGAAGAGAAGCAGCTGAGATGCTGAAGGTAAGACATGTCTCACTTCTATCACTTATTGAGACAGTAGTTTACAGTATTTGTACGAAAAACAATTACAAAGATAATTAACAAAAATACAAACTAAAACCTTTCGAACAAAGTATTAGTACAAAGGCTAGGAAGGTAGTTTCAACGCTTTCATACATCCTTCTCAGACAACTGTAAAACGTAATAGAACATGTTCAAATGACTGTACAATGTAATAGGACACATTCAGATGACTGTAGAATGTAATAGAACACATTCAGATGACTGTAGAATATAATAGAACACATTAAGAAGACTGTAGTATGTAATAGAACACATTCAAATGACTGTACAATGTAATAGAACACATTCAAATAACTGTAGAATGTAATAGAACACATTCAAATGACTGTAGAATATAATAGAACACATTAAGAAGACTGTAGAATATAATAGGACACATTCAAATGACAGTAGAATGTAATAGAACACATTCAGAAGACTGTAGAATATAATAGAACACATTCAAATGACTGTACAATGTAATAGAACACATTCAAATAACTGTAGAATATAATAGAACACATTCAGAAGACTGTAGAATGTAATAGAACACATTCAGAAGACTGTAGAATATAATAGAACACATTCAGAAGACTGTAGAATATAATAGAACACATTCAGAAGATTGTAGAATATAATAGAACACATTCAGATGACTGTAGAATGTAATAGAACACATTCAAATAACTGTAGAATATAAAAGGACACATTCAGATGACTGTAGAATATAATAGGACACATTCAGATGACTGTAGAATATAATAGGACACATTCAAATGACTGTAGAATATAATAGAACACATTCAGAAGACTGTAGAATATAATAAGACACATTCAAATGACTGTAGAATATAATAGGACACATTCAAATGACTGTAGAATATAATAGAACACATTCAGAAGACTGTAGAATATAATAGGACACATTTAAATGACTGTAGAATATAATAGGACACATTCAAATGACTGAAGAATATAATAGGACACATTCAGAAGACTAGAATATAATAGAACACATTCGGAAGACTGTAGAATATAATAGGACACATTTAAATGACTGTAGAATATAATAGGACACATTCAGAAGACTGTAGAATATAATAGGACACATTCAAATGACTGTAGAATATAATAGGACACATTCAAATGACTGTAGAATATAATAGGACACTTCTATTATATTCTACAGTCATTTAAATGTGTCCTATTATATTCTACAGTTATTTGAATGTGTTCTATTACATTCTACAGTCATCTGAATGTGTTCTATTATATTCTACAATCTTCTGAATGTGTTCTATTATATTCTACAGTCTTCTGAATGTGTTCTATTATATTCTACAGTTATTTGAATGTGTTCTATTACATTGTACAGTCATTTGAATGTGTTCTATTATATTCTACAGTCTTCTGAATGTGTTCTATTACATTCTACAGTCATTTGAATGTGTCCTATTATATTCTACAGTCTTCTTAATGTGTTCTATTATATTCTACAGTCATTTGAATGTGTTCTATTACATTCTACAGTTATTTGAATGTGTTCTATTATATTCTACAGTCATTTGAATCAGTCATTTGAATGTGAATGTGTTCTATTATATTCTAGTCTTCTGAATGTGTCCTATTATATTCTACAGTTATTTGAATGTGTTCTATTATATTCTACAGTTATTTGAATGTGTTCTATTATATTCTACAGTCATTTGGACTGTAGAATATAATAGGACACATTTAAATGACTGTAGAATATAATAGGACACATTCAGAAGACTGTAGAATATAATAGGACACATTCAAATGACTGTAGAATATAATAGGAGATAACTGTAGAATATAATAGAACACATTCAGAAGACTGTAGAATATAATAGAACACATTCAGAAGCCTGTAGAATATAATAGAACACATTCAGAAGACTGTAGAATATAATAGAACACATTCAGAAGCCTGTAGAATATAATAGGACACATGAAAGTGTTGAAGCTAGTCTGATATTTTGTTCCAAATATGTTGTGTTCTTGTAATTTAGCTACTTTTCATAGTATTGTGTATTTTACACGACAAGCATAATTAGTTTAACAAAATGGAAAAAAGGAATGTCATATCATCAGCTGTAAATATCTCTCGACACATGCAGAGTTTAACATTTAACAAACAATCAACTCACATGATTATCTGTAGAGAAATGATACACAGAGTTTAACGTTTGTTAGAGTTTAGCATTTAACAAACACATAATCACAATACATAATTATCTGTAGAGAAATGACACACACAGAGTTTAACATTTAACAAACACATAATCAACTCACATGATTATCTGTAGAGAAATGATACACAGAGTTTAACATTTAACAAACAGATAATCACAACTCACATGATTATCTGTAGAGAAATGATACACACAGAGTTTAACATTTAACAAACACATAATCACAATACATAATTATCTGTAGAGAAATGACACACACAGAGTTTAACATTTAACAAACACATAATCAACTCACATGATTATCTGTAGAGAAATGATACACAGAGTTTAACATTTAACAAACACATAATCAACTCACATGATCTGTAGAGAAATGATACACACAGAGTTTAACATTTAACAAACACATGATTATCTGTAGAGAAATGATACACACAGAGTTTAACAGTGAGTTGATTATGTGTTTGTTAAATCTACAGATAATCATTTGATTATCTGTTTGTTAAATGTTAAACTCTGTGTGTATCATTTCTCTACAGATAATCATGTGAGTTGATTATCTGTTTGTTAAACATTAAACTCTGTGTGTATCATTTCGTGTTTGTTAAATGTTAAACTCTGTGTATCATTTCTCTACAGACCATCATGTGAGTTTTAACATTTAACAAACACATAATCATAACACATGATTATCTGTAGAGAAATAATACACACAGAGTTTAACATTTAAGAAACAAGTAATCAACTCACATGATTATCTGTAGAGAAATTATACACACCGAGTTTAACAATTAACAAACACATAATCAACTCACATGATTATCTGTAGAGAAATGATACACAGAGTTTAACATTTAACAAACAAGTAATCAACTCACATGATCTGTAGAGAAATGATACACACAGAGTTTAACATTTAACAAACACATAATCAACTCACATGATTATCTGTAGAGAAATGATACACAGAGTTTAACATTTAACAAACAAGTAATCAACTCACATGATTATCTGTAGAGAAATGATACACACAGAGTTTAACATTTAACAAACACATGATTATCTGTAGAGAAATGATACACACAGAGTTTAACATTTAACAAACAGATAATCAGAACACATGATTATCTGTAGAGAAATGATACACACACAGTTTAACATTTAACAAACACATGATTATCTGTAGAGAAATGATACACACAGAGTTTAACATTGAACAAACAGATAATCACAGCTCACATGATTATTTTCTACAACTAGACGTATTTTATAATTTTTGAAAGTATTTATTTAAGAGTGTTATTAATACGTCACTTTGTTGTTTTTTACAGGCTCTTCAGAAAGCCAGTCACATCATTGGTGAAATCCGAGAAACTCACATGTGGTGAATTCATTAGAGATGATAGTGTAGTCAGCTGTTAGCAAAGTCTGTAGCAAAGAAGGTACATTCCCCATAAAATGTAAAAAATAAAACCTGTTTTCTTTGTTGTCATTTGCACAAAGTAACATAGTGTTCCTTGAACCCAACATAGATTAGTTGAACCAAAAGCCAGTATTTTTGTTTGTAGCAAATGGAACTTTTTTTTCTTCTGTATGTCAAATGTGAGTCGATGCAGGTTTCATCTTCAGTTTGCACCTTCTTTAAGTGTTCATGTTTTAAAAGAAAGAAGGTGGACTTTATCAGGAGAAGTAAAACCTTCAGTAAAGATGAATTATATTAGAACCAAATTGTGAACTTATGGTGCAGATATTTTCTGGAGGAAGTCTAAAATTTATTTATGAATATATAACTTTCCCAAAATCAATTTTTCTAACACTTTGGTCTTCATTTGAAAAATAAGTTATGGACTCCATGAACTATTTTGAATCTGTTAAATGTAGTTTGGAAAATTTTCTTTTTTTTAAAATGATATTCATTTCAATAAAATACGTTTTAACTGTCAGATTTATTAGTTTTTCTCCTGTACTTAGTAGTTTATTTTTAATCTTGTATCAGTACGTATAGATTTTTTATCGTCGAGTGATGGATTGTTAGTAAGTATGTGCTACAAAACTGAGTCATTAATAAGCATTTCATTACATGCTCTACTAGATAAAGATATTAGTCAACACTGGATATACATAATGAATTCATTTTTTGTTTAATAATTCATTAAATTTACACAGGTCAAGACAGTTTTATTAACAACAGTGTCTTGCATAGTTTATGGTCAAGTTTTGATTTCTGTTAAATACTGTTTTTTAAACTGAATTTTTTTTTGCAATGATTTTATAACTGAAGTCACACACACATCAGTTGTGACTGACAAAATACTGTGCTATCAGCTACTGAACTGTTTTCGGATAAGATAAGCTTTTATTTAATGGTTTAATTAATACTAGTAAGAGGGCGTGAAGTTTTACATGTAAGGATATAGTTGTATTTTCAAGACACTGCAACATTTTGATTGAAAATGCACATGTTCAAGGAGTTATTTAATATTTTTTTGTATATGAGTCATGATGTTTAAATACAACAATTTTTTATTTCATTTTTAAGAACAATAGAAGTTTTTAAAACTTAGTTTTTCTTCTCCGTATACATGCTCGACATTTTGAAGTAAATCAGAACAGTAAATCTTGATCAAAGTATTGAGAATGTTAATATTTATAGTAAAGCTACTGAATATACACAATATTTTAATACTCTTGGTCAGTTGGTATAATTTTCTCTGGTTGTAATTACCTAATTCTTTAGGCTTGATGATAGATTGTCAAATATTTTTCATAAATAAAAATCCGACATTTTATGGCCTTCCAACAAATTGAAATACTATTGTTTAAAGTATGTTTTTATAATCGTCTGTACAAACTGAAGTAATGTTAATCAGGAAGAACTCCTGAGGAAGATTGAAATAGTGGTAGACTATCATACCCACATCGTCATTTTATAACACTAACAATGAATTTATTACACGGGAATCAAACTTTAACGATGTATGACAGCTAAAGGAACAAAGGTTTGACACATCGAAATGGCAACAGACATCGGAATATACATATTCCATCTTCAAGAAGTGAGCTAAAATATTAGATCCAACATTAAAAGAATTTCATGTTATGTAAATTGTAAGTACCATAACATTAATTTTACTTGTGAAACTGAAAAAAAAATTAAATTATTTTCCTGATACACATATCAATAGACTAAGTAAGAAGTTTACATCATGTGTTTATCGTACAAAATATTTGATCAATTTTACTCAGAAATAACCACCTTACAGAATATTCTAATAAATAATGACTATCCTTTGCATCTTATCCAAACCCTAACACCCAAATTCGTTTCTAACAACATTGAACCCCAAAGAAACTGTATACTGTAGACATATACCACAGGTTTAATACAAATGTTATTTAAATCATTATTCAGGATTCAAAATCTTTTCAGGTCTATAGACCTGTTACCTACACCTATGTATTCCCGTATCATGTACACCTGTGTATTCCTGTATCATGTATACCTGTTACCTACACCTATGTATTTCTGTATCATGTACACTTGTTACCTACACCTATGTATTCCCGTATCATGTACACCTGTGTATTCCTGTATCATGTATGCCTGTTACCTACACTTATATATATTCCTGTATCGTGTACACCTGCTACCTACACCTATGTATTCCCGTATCATGTACACCTGTGTATTCCCATATGATGTACACCTGTTACCTACACCTATGTATTTCCATATCATGTACACCTTATACCTATACCTATGTATTTCCATATCATGTACACCTGCTACCTATACCTATGTATTTCCATATCATATACACCTGTTACCTATACCTATGTATTTCCATATCATGTACACCTTTTACCTACACCTATGTATTTCCATATCATGTACACCTGTTACCTATACCTATGTATTTCCGTATCATGTACACCTGTTACCTATACCTATGTATTTCCATATCATATACACCTGTTACCTATACCTATGTATTTCCGTATCATGTACACCTGTTACCTATACCTATGTATTTCCATATCATGTACACCTTTGCATATACATACGGTGCTACTCTATACTGACAGAATAATACGTCAAGTACACCTGCGAACGTGTGGGAGTATCAAGCAGAAGTGGAAAACAACCATCAAATCCACAGTTCACAAACATAGTGAAGACATCAATGACCTCATCTGGATCACCAAATATTTAACTATGAATTAAAGAAAAGTATTTATTTTAAGTAAACTTTCGTCTCTAAATAGTAACACCATATAGGTTGTGTTTTCCACCTATTCAAAAAGTTTTAACTTATTTCGTTCTTTTAATTTGCATTTTAAATTCTATATATGAAGTCACAACATTTTATAAATTTAGAAATATTTGTGTCTACAGTTTTACTTTGTATTCCAAAACTTTGAAATATGAAATTAAAGTCTTATGGGCTCGGTATTGTCCAGCGGTTACGACATGCGATTCGAAATCTGGGATTCGTGGGTTCGAATCCTGTCACTGAACATACTTACCCTTTCAGTCATGGGAATATTATAACGTGACGGCCAATCCCACTTTTCGTTGGTAAAAGATAACCCAAGTGTTGGCGATGGGTAGTGTTGACTAACTATCTTCCCTCCAGTCAATCTCTATTCAAATTATTAATAATATTAGATATATTATAATCCGTATTTAACAAAAATCAAATGTAACATAGTCGATTTAGCCAGCTGTTGAGTACTGTTGTTGTTAAAATAATTCTAAATGCGCAAAATCAACAAATCACGTTAGCGTGAAATTGTAAGAATTAAATTTGGCGTTTCGTAGAAAGTGTAATGCCAGTGAAACCATTGATTTTGGGAAGTATGTATATTATCGTTTAAAATATGTTCTGTCTGAAGTTCCGATTATAAACGAAGACTCGCTCAATGTTAATGTTTTTTTTAATTCGAATATTAGGAATTATCTTTTTTTTTCAGATATTAACGCTGACGATGGATTTTGTGAAACGTCTGTATTAAAGATGTTTTTTTGGTATTACCGTGTTTTTAATATTTATTATAATTTTTAATTAACCGAAAATAATATAAAACTACAATTAATAAAACTGAGAACGTTGGAGCGTGCTAAAAGTATTGTTAAATAAGTTGCAGTCGCTTATCACAATAATAAATGTAAATAATTTAAATAAAGATTACATGAAATAATAGTTTTAAAGTGGTCAGGCCTTGTGTCTATTAATAGAAGGGTGTCAGGATTAAATCAGAAGAGATTCCTTAAATTTCTTTTAAAGAAAATTATCACAATTATCTAAAAATTCTTTAAAGCTTAAATAGCGACAATCCATGTAAATCCAAAAAATGCGTTACTAAGACTGATTAATGGTTTAGAGAACTCTTGCTTAGTTGAGAACACTGTATAATAAATGACGTGAACACAGTGTTCTTCCGCTAGAGACATAGATAAATCTAGGTTTTCAATATATGATCATGAACGTTTCAAAGAACATTTATGTCACTGATAATCTCGATAATAAAGAATATTACATCAGTTAAACGGCATAATTGATGAGACACCATATTGTATCAAAATTTTAGATAACAGAGGTAAATTTCTTCAAGTTGAAATGCGGAAATCTTTCGCACCTTCGTCCTTTCATCTGTGTTACTTTTGTAGATTAGTCTCAAGACTTTTTCTACAAGTGTCACTCTGAATTGGACAATTTCTGACCATTTTAACTTTGTTTGTACATTATGAAAACGTTGCCGCAATCATCTGGAAAACAAATAACTTTTGTACGAGGTTTATTTCTTAGAATACAATGGTCACAATTTAAATAATATAGCTTATTACAGAAAATTATGGTTCAAGTGAAAGCGTAAGGCCGAAACATTGAGCAAATAAAAGAAACTTTGAAAATTTCTCTAGCATTCACGATCTTTTCATTTATTCAAAAGTATGTGCACGATGTTTGTTTGTTTGTCCGCAGTTAAACACAAAGCTACACGATGGGCTATATGTGCTCTGCCCACCACGGGTATCGAAACCCGGTTTCTAGTGTTGTAAGTCCGCAGACATACTGCTGTGCCACTGGGGGGCGTGCATTATACTCCAGTCAGCAATACATAATTAAAACAAAAAAAATAAAAATATTTATAGCAGTTTTTATCTCGGCAAGTAATTTTAGACTCTTGGCAACCAAAAGTACCTTTAATGTTTGGCGGCTAGACCTCTCTTTTGTAGATGCTATCACTTCTAATTTACCATACCACATCATGTTTCTGCCAAATAATATATATTACCATATTTTATTTCTTATTTCCATAAACTTACATGTTGGAAACACCACGCAGATTGTCGCCTTAATTTACTTCCGGTCCAGGGAGGAAAACTGCTTGGCTGACTTCATAACATTAGTTACTCAACGCGGGGGTGATGCTCGAACTTTAATGGCAGTTTATAATTTATATAACTTGTTAGTTTTATTAAACTTAAATACACACAGATAAAGAAAGAAAAGTAAAACGGGAATTTTATTAGAATAATTTTCAGGTAGGCATATTTCCATATGTAAATATTTTTTTGATAAAAGAGTTAGCACAAATGATCACATATAAAGTGTAGTAGACTTAAAATAAGACCCAAAACTCGGTCGATTTCGAATAGTTGACTATTCTTCTCTATAGAGCTAACCCCAAAATTTAGTAACACTAGCAGAAATTGCAATTTGCAAATAAATCATGTATGACTGAGTTATACTTGTAACTTAAGTTATACTAGTTATAGGCCTAATGTTTATAGATTTCAAATTTAACTCGGGAGTCCCACAAACAACTAACTTTTAATTTAAGTTAAATTTAAAGAGAGTTGTTAGTGGACTCTTGAATTTGAAAGTGAGACTGAGGAAACAATGACACTGAAAGTGTTCAGTGGCAGTAATAAAAAAGGACTAGTACTAGTACTCAGGACAGTAGTAGTAGTAGTCCACTCGTATGCGGAAACTTTAATGCTTAAGTTCGGGCGAATGTTAGACAGAGTATAATAAACTAGGTCTGTTCGATTAGTTAAAATTTATATATATATTTATATATCCCATTTTTTGAATCCTATTCTTAAAATAATAAATAAAATTGACTCATTTTTCAGAAAACTTAGCTTAATGATAAAACACAAACGTAATAACAGGAAGCATTTATTAGACGTTTTGGAATCGTCATAATTCCATCATCACTAATTTAGGGATACAAACAAACAATATTTGTAATTACAACAGAAGTATGTGCATAAGAAATAAACAATTCAAATATACAAATATAACACGAGAAAATGAAAACTGAGTGCAATAGTTAAAATAGGTTTAAATCCAGTGAAGATTGTCTGTTATTTAGAGACAAAAGAAGAGTTTTTATGTATAATGTTTCTTTTATAAGAAGTTCAGTATCATGTTTAGCTGTTGAAAGAATTTTAAAGTTTGAGAGAGAAAGTGGATGTCCTGTTTCTGTATTGTGTTGATAGGTAATGGAGTTGGGAGGGTTTTTAACCTTTCTTCCAGTTTTTATAGATATGCCCATACTTTAAGGTGACGTTTGGTTTCATTTCTTATGATGGAATTATGACAGTTCCGAAACTTATAATAAATGCTTCCTGTTATAACGTTCGTGTTTTGTTTTATCATTAAATAAAATTGATAATAATTACAACCCGCTAGCTTAATCTGGCTCATTCCATAACTAACATTTAACACTAAACAGTCTTATTCACAAAAATTGATAATTATAGCGTTTGTGTCTATTGTATCCCAGCTGAGTCCTGGAAGTGGGCGAAAGAACTTGCCAGCAATTATTATGCCAAATGTAGTGTGGTTGTTGTATAACAATCTTTGCTTTTACTCGTGTTCGTAAAACTAGTATCTCTGAATCCTTTCTTATATAAGGAAACAAAACTTTACATTCAAACTGAGGCTTTGATACTGATGATAATGATTTTTTGAGATAGGTATTTTTTTTTTTTCTACTTGCAAGTTGTAATCACTATCTATAGATAAACTAAAAGTTGCAATTAGAAAATCACTTCCATAACTTAAGTGACTTATCCACCATCATGTTAAGACCCTTTACTCTGGGAATGGGTAAAAGATGGATGAGCATATAACTGCCTGGATGGGGCATTAAATAATACTAAATGCCAGATTTCATATATTGTTCAGTTACTCCATTAAATAATACTAAATGTCAGATGTCATATATTGTTCTTACTTAATGGAGTAACTGAACAATATATGACATCTGACATTTAGTATTATTTAATGGAGTAACTCACTAAATGCCAGATGTCGTATATTGTTCAGTTACTCCATTAAGTAACACTAAATGCCAGATGTCATATATTGTTCAGCTACTCAATTACTCAAGTATTATCTTTTAGCCACTAAAAAAAGTTTTATAGCAAAATTAGTAAATAGCAACTGCCAGATTAAAAGTAGTTTGAGTGAAGTTTAGTTTTAAAATTATTGTAAAAACTCCAAAACTAGCTGAAGATTAATCTCATGTTAGAATAATCCAATGGTTTTCAAACTTTTGAAGCTGGTTTGTCCACTTGATTCGGATGCTGAAAATAAATACAAAATTGTGTATCTTTAGGTACAAAATGACTTTTTACAATGTTTTTAATACTGACATTTTTACTATTACTGCTGCTAGTAACCATAACTCCCAACATTTGTATGCATAAAAAAGCTATAAATATAACTTTATTACAACAATTAGAAAGATAAAACAATATTTTATTTTTCCCTTTTTTGTTTTGCATACCCTTCACTGACCCTCATGTAGCCCTGAGGGTATTGGTACCACAATTTGACAAACACTGGAATTGTCATTTAGTTGAATGTGATTAGTTAATGAGCCGACAATTACCAATTAATAAATCCCACTCATTGTCCAGCTCTGTTTTCTTACGATTCTTGGAACTTATTAATCCTGAAAAATACCTCTAAAAGAGTCATGTCAGGTTTTTGACCTCTTTTAAAACCCTCAGAAAAACTTTGATAGGTTTTGTGGTGATATATCTAGTTTTGTTCTTTCAATCTTTGTACTTATTACCAAGGAATTAGCAACTGTATTATTCAGGTACATCCTAATATTTCCCATAAAATGCTCAGAGTCAGGAATAAGAACGAAATAAAATAGAACATTTAAGAGCTCAGCCATCTCTTAAAGCTGTAGAGCTTTAAATATTTCAAATAAACATAAATTATCTTCTGATTCATCAAATGTTCATTATATTTTACATTTGAAAATAAATACATCATTATGGAAATCACAGTTATAAAATACACACAGAAGCCTCATGAACTGTTGTAGCTCCAGTAAGTAAAAAAATTAGAATAATTGATTAAAATTAATATGTTTAAATGTCATTAAAAATATCACTGCTTATTTTTACATGTTACCAATCTCATTCTGAATTGCTTTGATTTGTAAGTTGAAATTATATCCAGTTACAACATTACGCTTATGGTGCCATTGGTTAAACTATATTCTGTAACTGCCTTGCAGTAACATATTGTTTCAAATTATTATGTTATAAGTAATAATCACAGGTTATATTATGTCAGAATGTAAAATAAATTTATTAATTAGTAAATAACTCCAACTCTAGTTTATTTACATTCTTGTTTCTACTTTAGATTCTTCTGCTCGTTTGTTTTATTGTTTATACTTGTTAGGACTGTTGTTATATATATGTGTATTTAGTTCTTTCCAGAGAGACTAAAAGATTGGAAAGTAGTCTTGTAGTCTGTGAACCATGTATATGACCTTTGAATGTAAAAGTGAATGTAGAATGCCTTTTGTTGTAAAACAGTTACTGATATGAAGTGACAGTTTGAAGATGATACAGAGTTTAATCTGGGGTAGAAATACCTTAGTAGCTTATTGAGTGGAGTTTTAACAATAATACTTTGTTTTCCAAGGTAAATAATAACAAATGTAAGAGGGAATTTGAAACATGATTGGATATTATTTGGTGGAGTTCTTTTCTTAGTAACAAAGGTTTCTAGTAAAGGTGAAGGATACCCGTTTTTACTTAAGGTGTTCTGAAAGAAAGGTATGTTGTTATGAATAGATGTAGTTAGAGCACATCGATTAGGCCCTGTGAAGTTAGTTAGAGCCCATCGATTAGGCCCTGTGAAGTTTGTTAGAGCACATCAAATAGGCCCTGTGAAGTTAGTTAGAGCCCATCGATTAGGCCCTGTGAAGTTAGTTAGAGCCCATCGATTAGGCCCTGTGAAGTTGTTAGAGCACATCGATTAGGCCCTGTGAAG